AAATTTTTCTTTAGATAGCTACTCAAAGTTAAACATTTGGTAACGATTTATAGAAAAGCAAAGGATAAAGTAGACCAGAAAACCAAGCAAACTCTATGCATAACAAATAGCGCGCAAAAAGCAACTAAAAGAAAGGGGTGAATGACATGGAGAGAACTTGGCAATGGTTGCTGCCAGCTGCTACATCATAGGCGAAAGAGATCGCGTCTTTAACATAAATAAAACAGGCTTAGGCAAGGCTGCATTAACGTAAAATGCTAACCAAACATTCGTTTCCTCGTGTTCAATAACAGCAAAAACGCGAAATGTCTCTAATCTAATGCACTGCTGATCGCTAACTATTATAGTACGAGCTTCTCACGCTTATCGTATCAGGTAAAACTAATAATAGCGGTGAAACGAAATTTCAACTACTGGACCATTTAAAGCATTTTGCAAGATGCTTCATAGCGTAATCCTCGTGTCAGCCAAGAGAAGTAAATAGAGTTTCAATTTAAACTAAATAATTTAATGGCAATGTTGAATAAATTGAATAGTCAAGCATAAGCAATACAGGCTTCCACCAATAAATAGTCCATGATGTCAAAAAGGGAGATAATTAAGACCTATGTGTTCTCCAAGCGACGAACACATTAGTCATCACTGAAAAAAGCTGTAATAAAAGAAAAAAAGTTTCCAAACTGAAATTCGCGAATAACGAAAAGAAAGAGCATAAATGTTCATTTCATGGCTGCACAAAAAATTTTTGGAAAGCTGGAACAAATAAATAAATAAAAAACAAAAAATCTTTTCGTAGAACCCAAATCTCATAAATAATGATCGAATACGGCTTACTCAGTGAAGAAACTGTTTTATCGTGTCATCAGATGAAGAATAACGTGCTAAAAAACCTTTTTACGCTTTTGCACAAAATATTTTAAATATATAGTGCGACAACATTGAATCTTAACTGTAAAGCAATGCAATCCGGTAAGATTCAAATACCACAACAAGTTTGCTAGTTTACAGAGGCTACGAGAGAGCCTCGAAATATATATCAATGAGTTCACGCTAAAAATTCTAACCTAGCTGTTTCCTCTTCATAACACGGTTAATGTCGGACAGAAGAACACAGAGTAATTATATTTCCAACAAATATAAAAACGTAAAGACAAAAAAATAAACAAATGAACAGATAAAACAAGACCGTTAAAATTATCAACTTATTTAACTAAAAAGTTGACAAGGAAAGGGCCACTTTTTAAGCAGCAAAAATGATGTAGCGCTGAAGTTACCCCCCTATAACAGTATAAGTTGTTTTCAGAAAAAAAAAAAAAAAAACTGAAACTACCACAGTCACACAAAAAATGTAGCAAAAACAAATAAAATAACTACTGAAGAACATTATATATAAAGCAAACATTTTGCTTCTGTTTAACAAACTCGATCAATTTTCTTTGAGACACTAGACCATAAACTTATTAACCACCGAGACTTGCCCTAAAGAATAAGTTACTTATAGCAAGATAAAATCGTTTTGAAAAAAATATTGCTTTTCGCAGCAAATTTGAAATACAGTAAAAAAGAAGCTAGAACCTACGAAACTAAGTGAAGTTACATGTTAAAATAAAGTGCAAAATAATTTAAGAGTTAGAAAATTGTTTCCTGCGATTAAAGAAGACTAGAAATCGAACGAGAAAATGTAGAAATAAAATAGTGCTGGTAACTTACTGATCGGGGCCATTGGTGGTATCGGAACAGCAGGATAAGCAGGTATCATACCAGGAAAACGAGGAGGTAAAGCCATAACTACACTGGTATAAAATTATACACACTTTAAATCTGAAAACTAAGAGCAGATTATAAGAGAGCCAAACAAAACGCAGTGTTACGCTAACACAAAACTGGATTACGTAATAGATATAATCAACAAATAAATGCCAAAAACGCATATGATGCTATGGTCTAATTGTTGATTAAATCACTGTAAGTAACAATTTTTCCTGCTTTAATCTTAGAAAAAATTTTAGGGCTTAAGAATTGAAGAAATTTTTTTCCTTTGCAGAGAAACCAATCAAAGTTGCCACAAAAAAAACTGAGTTAAATAAAAATTGAAAAAATTAACTAGGCAGATGGTCAGAACTGCTGTAAATAGTATTTATAAAAAGCCAGTTTTCGACTAGAAAAAATTAGCCAGCTGATAAACGTGATATGTTTGTTGTAATACTCAAATCTAACTGTCAAGATCAGTAGCAAAAGAAAAAAAAAGCAATAAAAGAATTAAAAAAGAAAAAAACTAAAGAAAGCGAACACAAAAACAAATTAAGCCGGCAATGAAGTTGAATACCAGTGAAAACAAAATAACAGGGTTGATTAGATGAGAATCACATAAAACAAATGATTGCTTCAGACTAAAACGTAACAAAAAGCCCAGTCAAAAAAATAGCTTAACTTTACAACTGTCCATCCACCCCAATATTTTGAAGAACATCGCATACATATATTTTATGTATGCTGTTGTCATATACTTCAAACGACGAAAGCTGTGGCAAAAAAAAAAAAAAAAAAAAAAGAAAAAGGAAAGAGAAATGCTGTCAAATCATCGAGAAGTAAAGAAACGACCGTTCAGTGTTCCGTTAGAGGGAATCAGGGAAAAAAAAAGACAATGAATTTCAGCGAATAATTTAACTAATTAATTGAAATAAAATAAAGTACAGATATTTTGACTTTTTAATTTGTTTTCCGCATAAATTTTACTGCATTTTCTTTTAGTTGCAAATTATTTTTGTCCACAATTTCTTATTTTTTTTCTGGTTATCATCCCTTTACCGACTTATGTAAAAGCCATATTAGCCCGTAAGCATAACTTTGAGGAATTTATAAGTCAAACTAAAATACAATAACAACAACAGCAGAAAAAAAAAAAAAAAAAATGATAACAAAAAAAACTAACTT